ACTTACTATCAGGTATACTTTCTATCCGGTATACTTACTATCAGGTATACTTTCTATCCGGTGTACTTACTATCAGTTATACTTACTATCACTTATACTTACTATCAGTTATACTTTCTATCAGGTATACTTACTATCCGGTATACTTACTATCTGGTATACTTACTATCCGGTATACTTACTATCAGTTATACTTTCTATCAGGTATACTTACTATCCGGTGTACTTACTATCAGTTATACTTTCTATCCGGTATACTTACTATCAGGTATATTTCTGTCAGGTATACTTACTATCAGGTATACTTACTATCTGGTATACTTACTATCAGGTATACTTTCTATCAGGTATACTTACTATCTGGTGTACTTTCTATCAGGTATACTTAATATCACAGAGAAAAATGATGGCAGCTTTAAAAATGTCGCCATCCTTGTGGCAGAATTTCAAATTCGAAGAAATAAAAGCATAAAGAGTTCTGTAGATTATGTAAAGTCTCTTCTACACAATAAGTAAAAATATACATACTTAAAGTTAAAATAAGTAAAGGAATTCTGTAACGATTTTGACTGTTCTACCTTTAGATATGATCATGGTATTAGATTGTTCTGTGTTTTATATCGTTGTAATATGATCATGGTATTAGATTGTTCTGTATTTTATATCGTTGTAATATGATCATGGTATTAGATTGTTCTGTGTTTTGTATCGTTGTAATATGATCATGGTATTAGCTAATCATTTATTTGTTTGTTAAAATATGAGGATATAATAAGATATCACATGTTAAATACCATGTTAAATTTTCATATTTTAAATTATTAGTAAGTATGAAATATAAATGGAACTGACTTAATATATATATATATTTATTTATTTATATATGTGTGTGTAACTCTAAACTTTGCTGAGTATTTAACACTAAAATTATATAAACATGTGTAACCCTCCAAGTTTTTTTTTATGTAACTCTAACCTTTATTTTATATTCCACGCCAAAGTATTATGTGTATACCGAACCTTTGGATTACATCCTTTCTGTAACAAACGAGGCAATATGATGATTAGAAGTAGAGATTGACACCTGATGATAAATTGAAGAACGTAATCCCTACATTACATAAGATAATTTACTGCATTTCTTTAATACGTTCTAGTTGAACGACATGGAATTGATAACTTATTTGAATATTTGTGTTATTATTTTGTACCGAGTAATTTCTGTATAATTATAATTCCCCTTTCTCTGTAATTGTTTCACAGATCCTGTGATAGAAATAAGTTGTAAAAAGGCAACATTCAATTAAAATGGAAGGAACGGTGTTTCCAAGGTTTAATCAAGCTTACAAGAGCATTAAGTTTTTCCTCTTTTTTAAACACGTATGTTTTAGATGTCAACCGTAAAATTACTTTGTCACTCCTGTTCGTTTAGGGAGAGGTAACTAACCATTCAGGCACGAGGAGGTCGCTATTTCTATTTGTCGATAAGACGAATGTCTTAGAAATCCCGTGATTTTTACCACGTGCACGTGACCTTAAGGTCAAGGTCGTGCTGTGTAAGGCACACACCTAGAGATTCAACTAACATTGTTTCGAGAAAAAGAAAGTCACTTCTCACTTGAAGGCGATCGTCACCATCTTATCTTCATCAGTTTCATCCATCTTGATCCACACTTCTCACTTGAAGTCGATCGTCACCATTTTATCTTCATCAGTTTCATCCATCTTGATCCACACTTCTCACTTGAAGTCGATCGTCACCATTTTAACTTCATCAGTTTCATCCATCTTGTTCCACACTTCTCATTTGAAGTCGATCGTCACCATTTTAACTTCACCAGTTTCATCCATCTTGATCCACACTTCTCATTTGAAGTCGATCGTCATCAATTTAACTTCATCAGTTTCATCCATCTTGGTCCACACTTCTCACTTAAAGTCGATCGTCACCATTTTAACTTCATCAGTTTCATCCATCTTAATCCACACTTCTCACTTGAAGTCGATCGTCATCATTTTAACTTCATCAGTTTCATCCCTCTTGTTCCACACTTCTCATTTGAAGTCGATCGTCATCATTTTAACTTCATCAGTTTCATCCATCTTGATCAACACTTCTCATTTGAAGTCGATCGTCATCAATTTAACTTCATCAGTTTCATCCATCTTGTTCCACACTTCTCACTTAAAGTCGATCGTCACCATTTTAACTTCATCAGTTTCATCCATCTTGGTCCACACTTCTCACTTAAGTCGATCGTCACCATTTTAACTTCATCAGTTTCATCCATCTTGTTCCACACTTCTCATTTGAAGTCGATCGTCATCCTTTTAACTTCATCAGTTTCATCCATCTTGTTCCACACTTCTCATATGAAGTCGATCGTCACCATTTTAACTTCATCAGTTTCGTCCATCTTGTTCCACACTTCTCATTTGAAGTCGATCGTCACCATTTTAACTTCATCAGTTTCATCCATCTTGTTCCACACTTCTCACTTGAAATCGATCGTCATTATTTTCACTTCATCCATCTCGGTCTACATGAAATTAGTCATCATCAATTTAACTTCATCAGTTTTATCCTTCTGGGTCCACTGTACTTACTTGGATTGGATCATCATCATTTAAACTTCATTAGCTTCATCTATCCTGACCCCCACTGGACCAGATACAATCTAAAAGTTTATATTAAAAAAGTGACCTAGCTTGGCTTCAAGTAGCCGAAATTTCTTGGACATTTTTTCTAACACTACTCACGCAGTTGCGATTGGTTGCACATCACAGAACTAAACGGTCGATATAAAATAGACGCTAAATACATCCACGCTAATTCTCTTTAAAAACAACTGTTGAAGTAAAATAATCTAATGTCTGAATGATACAGTTATGTAACACGATCGTACGTACAAGTGATAATCTCAAAGTGTAGAAGCTATTATAACACAGGACCCTAAAGAAATCTATCCAATCTCCTGCTTATTTTAATTATATGCAAACAAGAGTGAGGTCGAAAATAAAATATAATGTAATCAGCCTCACCTTCTTGATTCTTAGTTAAAGTCTACATGGTGAGAAACGGTAATCTTAATCAAAAAAAGTTATATAAGTGATGACTCATCTGGGAATATCCCTGTTTTAATCTCAACAAAAATATGAGTATTTCACAAAGTTAGTATTATGAACAAGTCTTGAAAACTAGACATCCCGAAAAAGTGGTTAACTCTTAGGATGAAACAATATCTTATCCAATATATTTTGGTTGTATCCCAAAAGATTCGCTTGTTTCTATGTTATTAGATGAATATTTATCATTTTTACTTTTAATTAAAAGCCCGAGACTTAATTTTCCCAGTTAATTAGCTTCATTTTCGTATAACTACAAGAAGATCCTTGACAATGTAAAAAAGCATTACTTAGGAATTAACAGTTGAAATGATAATAGCTAGAAACCTGGGCAGTACAAAACGTATTGCATAACAATTGATTATTTAAATAATAATAATTGGAAACCTGAGCAATACAAAAATAATTACGTAACAACTAATGATTTAAATAGTGATAATAATCTGGAACCCTAGCAATACAAAAAAAAAACATTACGTAACAGTCAATGATTTAAATAATAATACTTAGAAACCTACGCAACACGAAAAGAGCTACGTAGCAATTAATAATTAAAACAATAATACTTAGAAACATGGGCAACAAGAAAAGAATTATGTAACAATTAATAATTAAAATAATAATACTTAGAAACATGAGCAAAAAAAAAATAATTATGTAACAATTAATAATTAAAATAATAATACTTAGAAACCTAGGCAACAAGAAAATAATTACGTAACAATTAATAATCAAAATAATAATACTTAGAAACCTGGGCAACAAGAAAACGATTACGTAACAATTAATAATTAAAACAACAATACTTAGAAACATGGGCAACAAGAAAAGAATTATGTAACAATTAATAGTTAAAATAATAATACTTAGAAACCTTGGCAACACGAAAAGAATTATGTAACAATTAATAATTAAAATAATAATACTTAGAAACCTGGGCAACAAGAAAATAATTACATAACAATTAATAATTAAAATAATAATACTTAAAAACCTAGGCAACACGAAAATAATTACGTAACAATTAATAATCAAAATAATAATACTTAGAAACCTGGGCAACAAGAAAATAATTACATAACAATTAATAATTAAAATAATAATACTTGGAAACCTAGGCAACACGAAAATAATTACGTAACAATTAATAATCAAAATAATAATACTTAGAAACCTAGGCAACACGAAAAGAATTACGTAACAATTAATAATTAAAATAATGATTCCATAATAATTATTATGATAAGTTATCGCACTCACAACTGTACTCAGGTTGTTTCATTATTATATGATCAAAATGTAAAAACAACGTTTCATAGTTCACATGTAATGTTATCTTTCTTTAGTAAACGACATTTTCAGTGAAACCTACCAAAAGAATTTACCGCACTTCAACTGTTTTAATTTATGCACATTTCACCGAGTATAGGCAATTAAATGGATATTATAAATATCTGGAAATATTTTTCGAATGCTTACATTTCACCATCAGTAAAAAAACTTAAAATAAACCGGGAGGATATCACAACATGTTAAAATATCCGTTTTTAATATCCCTTCATTCTCCATCTACCATCTTCAACTTAAAATTTTTATTAAGCAGTCATCGCAAGCTAGCGAAATACATGCCTGTTTACCAGTGAAGGGTAAGATGCCCTTATCTCATTGCAAATACGTAAAATCTCACGAGTTTCCTAATTATCAGAGAATATTATTCTAAATAAGAGGTAAGAGTAAAACGTCCTGCGTTATATAAAAACAGTTTCACCAATTAGATCTACAAAACAGCGAGAAGCTTAGTGCGCAGACTCCTAAACTGCTATAAATACCGCGAGCTCTCTCGCGAGAGCTTTCGATAAAGTCCGACTCCTAAACTAAGCATTGGGCATTAAGAAGCACGTGACATTTGCGAAGAATAAGTAAAATGCGATGATACTGTCAGAACGAGCCTGTGAAGTTACTCCTCTAATGAGATTTCTCGTGGTTGAGGTACAACCGCCAGTGTGATACAGAACATCTGTTGATAAGTCTGGAAAATTTCACATTTTTCGCCAGCGAAGATGGGCTTCTTAGTAGCTGTGACCACGTACTTCTTGTGGGCAACTTGTCTTCTCCAGGGAGGTGAGAAACGTTTCAACTTTAATCTCGGACCCAGTACAATATTACCTTCCCTAATTACGTCTATTATTAACTATGTACTTATATATATAAAATATATGATTTATGTAGCGTGTCTCATGATTTTCTGTCACTGGTTTGTTCATAGTCCCCCTGGATCACCTCTTAAAATCCATTGTCCTAAGTTATATATAACTTTGCCAGCTGAATGAAAATGTTGTTCCAACAACGTCTTCACAGATATGATAAACTTGTACAATTTAAACAGGAGAATGAGGCTAAATAAGATCAACTAAAAAATCAATAAATATTTCCCGAAGTTTCATATTATACACTTTTTTGTTAAGCATTTCGTACAAGTTACCTCCAAACGATGTATTAGTTCTTTATCTCTGGCAATATTAGTTGAAATGGATTAGTTTAACGCATTATTGCACGTTCAATTACAGCTCCTCAATTCGTTTGTAACACTACAGTTAATTCTTAAATAACTTGTACAATTACTAAATAAAATAACGTCATTTTTCGAAACAATAAAAGTTGTAGGCTATATCTGAACAAGCTTCACAAATGTTACATGTCGTATATCTGAACAAGCTTCACAAATGTTACATGTCGTATCTCTGAGCTAGCTTCATAAATGTTACATGTCGTAGCTCTGAACAAGCTTCACAAATGTTACATGTCGTATCTCTGAGCTAGCTTCATAAATGTTACATGTCGTATCTCTGAGCTAGCTTTATAAATGTTACATGTCGTAGCTCTGAACAAGCTTCACAAATGTTACATGTCGTATCTCTGAGCTAGCTTCATAAATGTTACTGTCGTAGCTCTGAGCTAGCTTTATAAATGTTACATGTCGTAGCTCTGAACAAGCTTCATAAATGTTACAGGTCGAAGCTCTGAGCAAGCTTTGTAAATGTTACAGGTCGAAGCTCTGAGCAGGCTTTGTAAATGTTACAGGTCGAAGCTCTGAGCAAGCTTCATCAAATGTTACATGTCGTATCTCTGAGCTAGCTTCACAAATGTTACAGGTCGAAGCTCTGAGCAAGCTTCACAAATGTTACAGGTCGAAGCTCTGAGCTAGCTTCACAAATGTTACAGGTCGAAGCTCTGAGCAAGCTTCACAAATGTTACAGGTCGAAGCTCTGAGCAAGCTTCACAAATGTTACAGGTTGGACTTTAAACAAAAGAGGACAATTATCGAAAAACAAACAGTCGTTATGTACTCAACGTAAGAAAAATCAATGAAACGTCATTAAATATGAAAGTTAATATCATGGTTAGGGTACGAAAGTTAATATCATGATTAGGGTAAGAAAGTTAATATCATGGTTAGATACGAAAGTTAATATCATGGTTAGGGTACGAAAGTTAATATCATGGATAGGGTATGAAAGTTAATATCATGGTTAGGGTATGAAAGTTAACGTCATGGTTAGGGTATGAAAGTTAACGTCATGGATAGGGTATGAAAGTTAATATCATGGATAGGGTATGAAAGTTAACACCGTGGATAGGGTATGAAAGTTAACACCATGGATAGGGTACGAAAGTTAACACCATGGATAGGGTATGAAAGTTAACACCATGGATAGGGTACGAAAGTTAACATCATGGATAGGGTATGAAAGTTAACACCATGGTCAGGGTATGAAAGTTAACATCATGGTTAGGGTATGAAAGTTAACATCATGGATAGGGAGATAAAAGTTTCATGTTAATGTTCGAGAGCTTTTGTACAAGTTAAGTTTTATTATAATGTAACGTATTTCAGAAATAATCTTATTACAATTCAACGTTTTTCAGTAATCATTTTATTACAGTGTAACAAGTTTCTGAAATAATCTTATTACAATTCAACGATTTTCAGTAATCATTTTATTACAGAGTAACAAATTTCAGAAATAATCTTATTACAATTCAACGTTTTTCAGTAATCATTTGCATCTTCTTTTTTTACTGCTGGGTAAAAAATATACTTCTTTACGAAGTTTTAAATAATACGGTTTTAACTTCAAAAGCCAGTGAAATAGGCAAAAAAACACGTCTGCAGTTAGCATATCTGTATCAAACTGCTGGTGACCTAATCTAAAGAAACTCGGTTAAATCTGAGATCTTATGCTAAGTTGAAGACCTCAGCTGAACATCCCTTCATGAAAAGCTAAACTGTTGTACCAGATTCAATCATCAACATCTAAACACTTATTCTTATTATATATCATGAGATATATGTCTGTCTGTCTGTTTCTTTACATGTTTTAATTATAGTAAATAAAAACTGTCGAGGTAAAGTGGTCGTGGTAAAGAAAGTTACCTTGTTTAAATCAGAGTGTGATAGCGTGTTTAAGTAGTATTGTTTACATCAGAGTGTGATAGCGTGTTTAAGTAGTATTGTTTACATCAGAACGTGATGACAAATGTGTAATTAATATTTTTTTATACAAGAACGTGATGACAAATGTGTAATTAATATTGTTTACATCAGAACGTGATGACAAATGTGTAATTAATATTGTTTATACAAGAACGTGATGACAAATGTGTAATTAATATTGTTTATATCACAAAATGATACCTTGTATAATTAGTATTGTTTATATGACAATATATTTTACATTGGTAATTGGTATTGTTTATATGACATCGTATTGGCCTATCACTAGTGTTGTTTATACCAACATAAGCTTATGATGTATTGTTGTTTAATATTACAACACTCTGTTCTTTATATAATTAGTATTATTTATATCTAATTATACTTGTCATAAGACATTATTGTTAGGCCTATTATATTTTAACACTACATTATTTATTCAGTCCTTTAGGGTTTTTTCAAAAATTATACAATGATAATAATAATATTCCAGAGACTCTATGTTCGCCATATTGTTTAAACACTACTATAAGCTCTTCTAATTCCTGAAAATCCCTAAAGGATTACAAAAAGAATGTATTATCATAAATAAAATATCCCTAATCCTAATATGGTGGGACATATATAATTAATTATAATTATTGCTCATCAGCTTAGAAAGGGTGTTTAATTATTATATACCATCCTTACTGTTTATAACACAATGACTTCTTTATGTGTTACTATTATATATATATATATATTACACCAATATGACTTGCGTATGATTACTAGGTGCAGGGTTTATATAACTCGCATACCATCCTTACTGTTTATATTATAACACAATGACTTCTTTATGTGTTACTATTATATATATATATATATATTACACCAATATGACTTGCGTATGATTACTAGGTGTACTTCTGCAGGGTCCACGAAAGTGTCTTGTTTCAAGAGTAAATAAAACCAAAATTAAGAGCAACAAATATTTTTATTTCTTGCTTTTGAAGTTCATATGTCATCCTGTGTTGTAGTCTACAATGTACATAATGCTTCTCGTGATTCATGGCATGTGCACGTTTTAGATGACGTTACGACAGTGTAAATTGCAGCGTTAAGCGTCACTTATGTGACGTAATTTTATTGTCTTCTTGAAACAGGAGACCCCTTCACTCGGCCTCAGGGAAATTATTGTTTACATCACAACACTGCTACACATGCGTGATTAACATTATTATTTTTTATGCTATAGATGTATGATTTGTGTATATTTAGCATTTACCATATTATAACGCTAGGACTTGCGTGAGATTAGTATAATTTATATTAATATTGTTTTTACTGTTAGTATGGTTTCTGTTACAGGGTTAATTGCGTGCCTGATTAGGCCTGTTTATAGACAAAACATACATGTGTGTATGGTTAGCTCTATTTGTATTATAATGTGACTCAAGTGTATGATTAATTTTATCAACATTACAGTAATATAACCTGAGTATTTAGTAATCGCGTCTCACGAGAACGTGATCAAGTCTATAGAGTAAATCATAAATAACACGTGGAAATGCTTGTGGATTTGTCTCGTTATATCGCTATCACATGACTTGCATTTCTCACTGCTGTTTATGTCGGAAACTAGGCCTTAAATTATAGCAGAGCGCAGAAACTGTACATTAGGGTGTTCATATCAATTTTCAAGGCACATTTCAGCGGACTCATGATATTCATATTAACTTTTATGACGTAGTTTAACTTTATCATATTTATATTAACTTTTAAGGTCTCGTTTCGTCATATATATATGAATTTATTTTGAAGGTATAGTTTAACTTCATCATATTTATATTAACTTTTAAAACAGTTTAATTTCGTCATATCCTTATTAACGTTTAATGTATCGTTTAATTTCGTCATATGTTTATTAACGTTTAATGTATCGTTTAATTTCGTCATATCCTTATTAACGTTTAATGTATCGTTTAATTTCGTCATATCCTTATTAACGTTTAATGTATCGTTTAATTTCGTCATATGTTTATTAACGTTTAATGTATCGTTTAATTTCGTCATATCCTTATTAACGTTTAATGTATCGTTTAATTTCGTCATATGTTTATTAACGTTTAATGTATCGTTTAATTTCGTCATATCCGTATTAACTTTTAAGGCATAGTTTAATTTCGCCATATCCTTATTAACGGTATTTACCTTTAAGGCATAGTTTAATTTCGTCATATCCTTATTAACGTTTAATGTATCGTTTAATTTCGTCATATCCTTATTAACGTTTAATGTATCGTTTAATTTCGTCATATCCTTATTAACGTTTAATGTATCGTTTAATTTCGTCATATCCTTATTAACGTTTAATGTATCGTTTAATTTCGTCATATCCTTATTAACGTTTAATGTATCGTTTAATTTCGTCATATGTTTATTAACGTTTAATGTATCGTTTAATTTCGTCATATCCGTATTTACCTTTAAGGCATAGTTTAATTTCGTCATATCCGTATTAGCTTTTAAGGCATAGTTTAATTTCGTCATATCCGTATTCATCTTTCTGTGGTTAAATTAACTGTATGTGTTTTACTAATCTCTATTTGTCTTCAGACATAAATAAATGTATCAGTTAACCCTA